GATAAAATATCGCTAATTCTACTGTAAAAAGGAAACATGTTCGTGTTATATCGAGCAATATATTTCTACATGTCCAGATATCGATATCTCTGAATCCCGAAGTCCACAAACACCGAAATCCTTAAGCCTCAATATCCCTATATCCCAATATTCCTATAAACATTCTCTAAGCCTTGAAACTCCTAGATAATATCTCTAAACGTCAATATCCCTAGATATATCTAAACTTCGAAATCCCTAAACTTCAACAACCCTATATCTTCACATCTTCTATACCCATTTTTGTTTTACATTTACACCGTACCTAAAATTAGCAATATTATTGTTCATTAAGAAGTCAATTCCCCCATGTGACATAACTACATCGTTCCTTATCACCCTATTCAGAATTATATCGTTGTCTTCACCGCATGAATGTGAATCATTGTCAGCATCGGAATTAGAATGAATAGCCCGATTCTGTTTCCGTCATCTGCAGAATTTATAATTATCAGTTCGATTACGAGGCAATACGTAAAAAACATGAGAGTCCATAAATAAACGAACGCTGAAAATTTTCTTTCAAAATAACTTTAGGCGTTTAGGAATATCTTCGAACGTTTCATCGTGGATTCTGAAGTTGGCACAAGTTCGAAACTGCATCGCGACAATTCATCCGCACGGTTTATCAGCGTCTCATTATCAGATGCATTTCTAACGAACCGCTCGAAACGTCGTGTCACGGTTCACGAATTAATTTCACGTCGATTCGAACAATATTTCTACGAAGTCTTGCGACGAGATTAACATTCATTGATAAACCGGGGAATTTCCACGAAAAAAACGCGAACGCTTTTTATGAGTTTATCAGGTGTTCGATGATATTGAAGAATCGACAGGAAACTGAGAATGAACGTTATCTAAATCTTCCTTGCTATCTTATACTCGAAAGAGTGTTAAAAAGAAATGTATTGTATAAAAATGTTTATTGTTGGTTCACAGCCTGACTTCCTTATTTGTTTAAAAAGGCGCAGCAAGTGTAATACGTTTATCGTTTGCTGATAATAATCTTATCGTCGTGAATAAACGAATGTAGTTTTCATAACTCGTTATTAATTTGTGTTATCAATTAGTGAAATACAAGGAGAAAGGAGTAGAAATTAGTAGTAACGGGTTTCGGACTTTTGAGGACTCCTCGGGCAACGTCGGCCGGAATCGGGTGAGGTCGGACAGAGTCGGGCGAAGTCAGTAAACAGATTATAACTCAAGATTTCGAAAGATTTCGACAGAAGATTAGGAACACATTTTTAAATTTACAGTCTTTTTTGAACTTGTAATTTAATATAATAAATCCCTAAAAAGAAGTTGTCTCGTATTCCTAAATCTTACAATTCGCAAACTTTGAATTCCCAAGCTCCTGCATTAAAATTAAAAAAATTTCAAACTCCTAAATCCTCAACTTGACACTGCAAATTTTTACACTTGAAATCAGTGAAACTTCAACGTAAAAAATTTTATTTACACCTTCCTTATTTTTCCTATTCTTACAACCCCATCTAAGTCCACATACTAAGAACATATCAATATTCCTGAAGTTCCAAATTTTCCCTAGATCCTAATATTTCAGGAGACGAAAACGAATCGACCGAATTTCCTCCACTTTCGAACGTCCCTGAATCCAGATCTCCTTCAAAGACATAATATGTGTCCAAGGTAAAGTAAACGTATAAGACAAACAGTAATGGCGGAAGGAAACTTTTCATACGCAACGATGCATTATTCCTTGACCTGACCTAACCGAGTCTTTTTTCATATTCATCACGAAACTGGTCCCATATCGTATCGAATTTCTTTTCCCCGATCGTTTCCGACGCACTCTAAAATCGGAATAATCAAACAAGCAGGGGCACAACAGGACTTTATCAGGGGACAAAATCGGTCCAAAGACGTGTCAGTTCGAGCAGATGCACGAGTCGTATGCATCGATTAGCATTTCGATGACGTGCAGCGAGAAGTTTTCGGTATCGTTCGCATATCTGAAAGACGCGATTGAATAATATGCAACGACACCATTCAAGAATGAATTTTTTCGTCCGCATCTGTCATGAGCGAACCGTGCCCGAACAGGGCCGAAAAACAACGTAACGGGTGCACTTTCAAATTCGTTTCCGTTCCGATTCCGTATATCGAGTCGCGACGAACTTTACGAAACAACACAAAACGAATTATCTGGCTTCCTGCGCGAGATAAACTGCATCGGTTATTAAGTTCATTAATGTATCGGTTTTTTTATTCTTGTTTGGTGAAACTTTTATGACGAAGAGTTTAGTATTGTGGAAAATGTAGTGGGGAATTGTAAGAGAGTCGATTTGGAAATTTGAAAAATTAATTTTCTAGAGGCAGAAATTCAAATACTTAAAGTTTGAAAATTTTCAAATTGTCAATGAATTATCAAGGTTTTATATTCTCAAAATCTCAAATTGTCAAATTATCAAATTATCAAATTATCAAATTATCAAATTATCAAATTATCAAATTATCAAATTCTCAAATTCCCAAATCTCCAAACGCTCAAATCCCCAAATTCCCCCAAATCCTTAAACTCTCTAAATTCCCTAAATTTCCCAAATACCCAGATTCCCCAAATCTCCAAATTCCCCGAATCCCTCAGATCCCCCAAATACCCAAATTTCCAAATTCCCCAGATCCCCAAATTTCCCAAATCCCCAAATTCCCCAAATCCCCAAATTCCCAAGATTTCCCAAATCCCCAAAACCCCAAATTCCCCAACTCCCAAATCCCAAATCCCTAAATTCCCCAAATCCCCAAATCTCCAAATCCCTAAATTTCCCAAATCCCCAAATTCCCCGAATTCCCCAAATCCCCAAATTTCCCAAATTTCCCAAATCGCCAAATTCCCCAAAGTCCTCAAATTCCCCAAATTCCTCAAATTCCCCGAATTCCCCTAATTTCCCAAATTTCCTAAATCTCCAAATTCTCCAAATTCCCCAAATTTCCTAAATCCCTAAACCCTGAAATTCCACAATTTCCAAACCCAAATTTTCGAACAGCAAATTTCCACATCCCTGAATCACCATACGTATAAAATAACAAAACTTCGCCTGCCGCATCAGAATTTTTGTTTCCTCCAAGAAAAAGATCCAACAGCGTTATGGAATTCGTGTATGTACACACGAAAGAATGCACCTTTTCCAGATGGTGACTGTATGTATATATAAATTGATGCAGCCTTCCGTGTTATGCAGATGTCAGAGAGGAAACGTACGAGCTGTTCGAAGTAAGCTGGGGAATTGACTTTCAGATGAAAGAACTTTGGACGACATAAAAGCCCGGTCGAAAGGTGAATCCCGCATAGTGGGAGGAAACTTATGGTAGATTAAAAACCTATTTGTAGTCTTTTGTCAGGGCAACACCGGGGCTACAATAACAGTCCGTTGAATAATTTGTATAGAATTATGGTAATGCGTGACGAAGGACTTTCGAATCGATTCACTGACAGCCCGTGTTTCTCTATTGATACGAACTCGAATTTCTACCTTTTCTTACCTATTACTTCTTTAAGCGCTTTTTACATGCTTTTTTTCTCGCGATCGTTCGTTACACGATCTTACGATATTCCGGAAAAATGTATGCGATCGCATGAAAACACGTGTTGGAACGCATTACGTGACATACGAGTGCTTTGTAATTACACGTGACTAATGGTGAACGCCTTTAAATAAAGTCAAAGCAATATCGAGCTGTTTAAAATGTGACTTATTTATATTTTGTAAAATAGTTATAATATTTTCTTCTCGAGGGTACGTTAACCCTTTGCAAAAATTTAGTTTGTCATTTGAAATGTCCCGTCAGAAGGAACAACTGAGTGCAAAGTGTTAACATGTACATTAAGGTTGCACCGAAATCACCGTGAAAACGAATGGCCATTAGCCGGGAACAATCGCAATCCAAAATGCAGTATCCCACGTTAATCATGAAATTAAAAAAGGAGGTAATTTATTCAGCTCGCGTTTCAATACGAATTCGATTTACCCTTGATATTAACGCGGGAATTGAATTGAATTGAATTGAGATATCCGAGCTGGTTCGTCACGGGTTCGAGCCGGCATCGGATAAAAACAACGGGCAAATATGCATGGAACACGTGAGAGAAGTCCACGAGGGTTACATAATCCAGGCAATTTCTATGGAATGACAAGGCTTTTATAAGGTCTCAATTCACCGTAAAATCTTGACATCCTTTCCATTCGGGGCGCGGACAATTTCAGTACCGAATATGTGCCGACGAGCCTTCGATTACCTTTTTCTCGCTCTCTTCCTCGAAGATCGCCAAACCGTTCATAATTTCGATTGCATAACTGCACCCGTCCGTTTTCCCTTTTTTTTTCTTCTTCTTCGTTTTCTTCTTCTTTTGCTGCCCGACACTATATGTACTAACACGCATTGTTCGCGACACGACTTATGTAAACGTGGATTACAATACTATGTTCCTAATCATACGGTTTTCTGCTTGCATCCTGCTTCGATCCGCCTTAAAACTCTGAAGGAACACGCTAAACACGATACTCGTTTGATACTTGATTTTAGTTGAATTTTTTTATTATAAAAGTACCTCGAGTTTCGAATAACGAAATGAGGGGTTAACTTTGTACTGGAGAGATACACTGTGCATTTAATACAATTTCAACTAAATATATAACGTTACTCTTGTTCGAAGAGACTAATAATAATTAATAATAGGAAATAATAATTTCGTCCAATTTTTTAATTAGAAAATTTTAAAGTTACTGTTGACAGCAATATCTTCAAAGGAAAACTATATTCTTTATGAATCATTTAATTATGAAGATGTTTATAGACATCAGTTTCTAGACAATTATAGTGAATTTTGGACAAGTTTTTAGCAAGATATTATAGTGATATTAACTTCGTTTATTATATGAAATTTATATTTGTGAAACTTTGAAAATTTGAGACTATGAATCGTCTTTCTGTTGCAGAACGATATCAGCCAAGATGAGGACAGCGAAGTATTTTTTTGGGACCCATTGGCCACCAAAAGTCGAAACTCGAAGAATCAGAACCAAGCTAGGCATTTGCAGGAACAGTTGGCACAAGCCTCCGTGAGGATACACGATTTGGAAGCGGAATTAAAACGCGTTCAAAAGGTAAATCGAGAGATTCCTGTAAATTTATTAGCTTCACAAATGTTTGCAATCTCATATCCAGAATTTATGATAAAAAGTTGCTAAGCTTATGATCTAAAAAATTTCAAAGTTCAAAAATGTGTGATTTCCAAATTACACATATTTGTAAATTTAAAAAATTGAAGAAATTAATTCGAATCAGAAGTGAAAAGCTTCGACATCGTTTTCGCAATCTCATTACAGCACACCATACACGACCATATCCTAAAGAACATCAGCAACTACTCGATCTGCCCATCGCCATCATAAATCACCTTTAAAGAAACATTTTAACGCATTTCTCGAAAATCATCGGCGCCTATGTTCCACGTAATATTTTCACGTAGTCAATAATCGCATTGTCTCTTCTGTCCCACAAAACGCTAAAGGGATAATTACCTTGGCAATTATTTCCAGATAATTGCGTTTAATTTTAACCGTTCGCCATTGTCGACCGTTTCACGCACACACACACGTGACCACACGTGTCATTTATCCACGTTATCTTCAATCAATATTGTATCACTGCCATTTTATTGGTACGCTATTACACGCTGACTGACGCGACGTGATCAATTTATCATTCTTTTCGATCGCTTAATTAAAAACTCTAATCGTTGGTTACAGGTTAATAATCCGTTGAAAGAGGAACTGACCGATGGTCACCAAAAAGCGGAATTCGTGAGAGCCAAGCAGGATATGGTGAATCGCATAATACAGCTGGAGGAAAAGGTAGAGACATTTCATTAAATCGTAGTGGTATCTGTTTTCGTGTATAAAATAAGCTGCTTCGATTAGATACGCGATCGCGACGGCGTGTAAGATGAAGCTTTTCTGTTTAATTAGAGTCGGGAAACGGAGAGGAGCACGAAACGCGTGCAATCGGATGAAACGGCGTTGATCAACGATTTCCGTACTGTGTTGTCGAAATTGAACTCCCTGGAGAAGTTGGATTTAGTCCGGACCGCGTTGAAGGCGCTGGAAAGCGAGAACGAGAAGCAGAGCGAGGCCAATAAACAAGAAAAATCGGACTTCGACGAGAAGTTCAAGGGTCCTGACAGCGAATCCGTACCGTTAAAATCCAATTTCGAGGTGAACTCGGAGCATCATAAACGGCACGATGGATTTATCGAGGCTTCGAGCAACAGGGAGTCAGAGTTATACAAAAAGATCGAGGAGCTCCAGGAGGAGAACAAAAGACTGTTCGCCAGTGTTGAGGAGTTGGACCAGCAGCATGAAGAATCGATAGGTAAAAATTAAAACTTATAACTATCTTCTGCTAATCCATTGCTTTAACTCCGTCCAATTTACAGAGAAGCTGCTGTCCCTGAAGGAGGAGGTCGAGAAGAAGCACCAGTCCCTTCAAAACGCTTACGAGCAGCTTTACGTGGACTACAATCAGGCTCAGGACAAGGTTACCCAGTTGGAGGATAGGCTGAAGGACTCAACGATCCGTACACCGATCGAAACTGTGTCCCGTTCGATACAAATAAGCCAGCTGGACAGTGCGGATAAATCTGTCCAGACGAATGATCTGCAAACAACGGAGGACAATGAGAATAGCATCGCCGAGTTAACTGAGAGGATCAAGGATATCTTGAGGAGTACCGTAGTCGAAACAGAGCCTAATGAGTCTATATTCGAGGCTGTCGCTAAACAGTACGTGGACACGAAATGGAAGAAGGAGCTCTTAGAGAAGAAGGTAACCGAGCTCAGCCGAGACCTGGAAGAGGCTGTGGACATGAAGGACAATTTGCAAGTAGAATGCGACGTGATGCAATCGCACATCGATTCCTTGTTGTTAGAGGTTCAGGACCTAAAATTGAATTTACCGTCCATACCGGAGGCTAGCGAGGAACGGGTCGCCTCTCTAGAATCGGAAACAGAATCGTTGCACGAAGAGGTGAAGCGTTTACAATCCGAGAACTCATCGTTGAAGAAGGAGAACGCGATGTTGCGAGAAGGTTGCGTGAACGAAAACCGAACGGAGAGTCAAGGACAAACGGCGTCCCGAAGAAAGCCGACGAGGTTAGAGGATATTCCGGAGGACATCGAGGAAACGGATAGCGCGGTGGAGAACCTGAATCGCAGACTGCACGCGACCTTGGACGAGAACGACGAGCTGCGGAGGAAGGTCGATTTGCTGGAGAACGCGGAGAAGGAGACGCAGGAACAGCTGAGGATGTCGTTGGAGAGGTGCAAGGGCTTGGACGAGAACATCGAGTTCATCGAGGAGTTGAAGCTCGATTTGGAGAACGTCAGACGGGAATTGAAGACCTCCACCTCTAACGCGAAACAGCTGGAGAACAGTTTGACTCTCCTGCGAGACGCGAAGAGAGAGATCGAGGGAGAGAACGAGGAGCTGTCCCGAAAGAACGAACAGCTGGAGACGGAGATCGCGAAATGGCGGGAGGTTAACTCTGGAACGAACGACGACGTGATGGAGAACCTCCGGGAACAGCTTGACAGAGTCACTCGCGAGAAGGATGATTTGGAATACGATATCTTGAACATGAGGGCAGAACTGGACGAAGCGTTCGCTCAGATAGACTTGAAGGAAAGTCACATAACGAGGCTGAGTCAGGAGAACGAGAACCTGATGAAGGAGAAAGGCTCCCTGCTAGAGCAGCTGTCTGCCATTCAGGACGAGTCCAACGATAAGATTGATCTGGTGAACACCGAGAAGTCTCTGCTGGAACAGGAGCGGGTCGAGCTGAAGGAGCAGGTAGAAACTAACGAAGGAGAGCTGAACGAAGTTAGAGAACGATTGCGCGAAACGGAGGAGAGATACGCGAAATTGGAGAATGAACTTTTGTCGATGAACGAGAGGGCCGAGCAGCTGCAACTGGAGAACGAGAATCTTCAGAACGAGATGAAGAAACGCGAAGAAGTTTCGAAATTAACGGAGAAACTGAGCTCCATGCAAAACGATTACGCTCATCTGGCTAACGAGGTGGAAACCCTGCGTTTGAGGGAGAGAGAATTGACAGCTTTGCAGGAACGTTTCGCAAGACTCACGGAGGAGAACGATGCCTTGAAGAGCCAACGCGAAGAGATTCAAGATAATTGCAGAAGGTTAGAGCACGAGGTGGCGTGTCTGCAGGCGGAGAAGAAGGAACTGTTGCATCGCGTGAACGAGAACACCTACGACAACGAGAAGCAACAAGTCGTAGCGCTGTTAGAGGAGAGAACGCGGGAGAACGAGACCCTGAAGACCAGCAACGAACAACTGATGGCCGAGGCGATCGAATCGCAAAAGAAGTTACAGAAGAGCATCGAGAGCAACAAAGAATCCGCCGATATGGCCAAAGAAACCATAGAAAGTCTGTCCCACCTGATCAGCAAGAAAGATGAAGAAATTAATAACCTGAAACAGTCGCTCGAGCTCGCCAAGAATAATCCGGAACTGTCGAACGAATTTCAGACCGTGAAGAACGAAAGAGATGAACTGGTGAAACTGGTGACCATTAAACACAACGAAAGCTTGCAATACCACGGAGAAATTCAGAAGATGACGCACATGTTGAACGAGCAAACGTTACAGCTTCGAAACCTGATGTCCGAAAAGGACGCGAGTTTATCCGAGTTGAAGGAGAAGGAAGCGGAGCTTTCGTGGATGAGGAACGAGTTGCATGGACTTCAGGAACGTGTGAGTCAATCTAGCCAGAAAGCATGTGCGGAAAATTCGACGCAAACTTCGGCGGAGATCGCACTTCTGGATGAAAAGTGCAACGCACTGGAGGCAGCCTTGATCCAGGAACAATCCAACAACAGAATGTTGCAGAATCAACTGAACGAGAGTGAAAGCAAAGAAGCGAACGCGGCGAAAGAGTTGGAGAGGCTTAGGACGCATCTGGTCGAGATGCAATCGAGTTACACCGAAGAAGCCTTGTTAGCTGAAGAGACTCGTAAAGAACTGGAGGCGAAACTGCAGCAAGCTGAAGAGAAGGTGAAGAGTAGCTCCACTGCCTACACGTCCGCTAACATCAGAGCTAATCAACAGGTGGAAACGTTGCAACAACAGATGGCATTGATTGTTCAACAGAGGGACGATATACAGAAAAAGTTGTCTGTTGCTGAGGATAAAATCTTGTCTCAAACTGCTTCTCTGACCAATCTACAAATTGTCCTGGAACAGTTTCAGCGAGGTGAGTTTCAAATATATTTGAATAAGAAATATGAAAACTAAACGTATGATTTTTAGATAAGGAAAAGGATGTCGTGGCAGCCACAGAGAGGATACAATTGAAGTTGAAGGAATCTCATAGGAAACAAGAAGAGTTAGCCAATGAAGTTACCAATCTCAAGGTATATTTTTGCTAATAATGAATGAAATAAACGTTTAATAGAAGATACATGTTTGCCTAAAGATAAATGTTTTAATGCCTGTTAATAGGAACAATTAGCCGAAGCTAAAGAATGCTTGCAAGCAGCGTCCAGATTAAGCGAACAACTCGATAAAAAAACAGAACGTATCGAACAACTGAGCCAAGAAGGTACCTCATTCAATACTTCTAGAATTTTTATAACTGCCTGCATCTTGCTCCTTTTATCTTCCGCATGATTAGCATATTTTTGCAAATCAAGTACATTTAAAGTCATTGTTTATTAAACAAATGAAACGAACTAACGCAACGAATCGTTACATCACGCAATTGATTTTCAAACATTGACTAATTGTCATTTACAGAAATTATCGCTGAACGAAAGTAAATAATCTTATGTACTTCTTTGGTGTGGTTATAAATTTTAAGGGTTTTTTGTGTGCAATTTTTAACACGATTTGCAAATGGAAATTTATCGAGTAATCAGCCCATCAGTTAGACATTTTGATTATTGAAATTTGTAACATAAGTGGCTAACAATATATGTTTAATGTAATCACTTTTGGAATGATTCATTAATTTTTTATATAGTTTAATTGCTTCTACCAGTCTTGGACCATATTAAAGTAATGCATTATCTTATTTACATATCAGGTGAAATAATTGATTTGAACAAGAGAATAATTTTTCTTAAGATTATTTGGTTATTTAGCAGTACAATGATATAATTTTATATTTAAAACAATTTAATAAAAATTAGTCCAAGTCTGGTTCCTATGCTTTGAAGTACTTGTGACCACTATTGAACATCATATTAATGAATCATTCTAACTAAAATAATACAGAAAGATACCGTTATTTCTTAAGAGTATATTAATATGCTTAAAGTTCCCCTTATACAAAATGTAAGAAAGCACCTGCAAAAGAGTTTGATGCCGTGAAAGCTTCTATACAAATAAATACACAAAATATCACATGTTCTGATTACAATATGTATATATGCACTGGTGAAATGGTTGAAATTCACTCTATAATCATCAAATTGAGCATGACCTGTGACTAATCTGCAAAATCAAACACATAGACAATCCGGTGGTGTAGTCAAATATCAGCTGGTAATTCTGGGATTTTGACAATAGCCCAGGATTCTTGCTGGTATCCGGCTACGAACCGGACCATCGCCTTAGCGCACTAAATCACATCTTCATTGGCTCATGCATTGCCACTGGTGCTGGTACTACCTTCTCTTTTTTAAATATAAATTCCTACTTATTGATATAAGGTATTAATTATGTACAGATAGAACTATGAAAAATTTAATTTGGTAATTACCTTATTCCTGCAATACGTTAGATAATACCTCCTTTACAAGCTAGGAATAATGTAATGACAACGTTACACTTATTGATCATGAACTATGTAACTTGCCACTGAAACTAAATCATGTTTCAATTGTACGTTATAAGGAAAACTATATGTAGAACCACGTATATATAAAATTTGGTGGTGTTGGAGTGGGTAATCTCATGCGGTAACTGTGAGTGTGTAAATTGTAAAAGCTCATATTACCTCGTGGGGTTTCCCACCCGTTACCATTATCCTACAAGGATCAAAGCATGTAGTTAAAAGCTTTTATTTTGCTCTCAATAATATGTATGTTTTAATTTTATTCCATACAATTACTTTCTGAATTGTTTGACCTTTTGTAATAGCGTACTATTAAATTTGAAATAAATATAATATTTACAGCCACGTTATTGTAACATACTAAAATACTTTTTACTATATTAATAAAGCTTTCTTACTTCTAGTGGCATGAGTCAAAGTTAGTTTGCTAGTATGGCATGATAAATGAAGAATGCAGCATGACCGATTAAGACATGGGTGTGAGTATTAATTCAGGTACTGGTGTAATATTCGGACAACCAGTACTTGTATTATACTTACGCTCATATCTTTTCAACCTTCAAATCTGCCAAGTTTACAACGTTGGAATGCACGTATATAGAAACGAAGCATCCAAAATGCTAAATTTTTCCTCGAATAGTTTTATCAATACGTATATCTTTAAGCATATACAAACTAAATATTCTCTTTCTTATTTGTTTTATCGTATATTTATAGTTGACCGGTTATCGAATCTTGTAAACACTGCCGATCATAGGATAGAAGAAGCAAAACAAAATGGAGAGGGAAAAGTTGACAAGTTAGTACATGTTCGCTATTAATTCTGTACTAACATAGTACAAGTATCTATTGAATATACATACATATGATATAATTTGTGCTGTACTATTAAGTACATATAAGTAAATATATTATATTTACAGAACCCTCGTTAAAAACTTATTATTGGGTTACCTATCATCGTCGGCAGCAGATAAGTCCGCGGTGCTCCGAGTATTTTCTACAGTTTTGGACTTCAATGAAACGGAGAAGGATAAAGCCGGTTTGAATAACGCCGTAGCTCAAAATAGTTGGTTCTCTCGTTTAAGTGGTGGCTCTTCCGTTCCCAACAAGGTAAACAACTTTATATTGCACTACTTCGTTTAAACACAATTTTAAAATCTATCGCCAAAATCACTTCCAATATTACCGCCAAAAGTGAGGGCGCTGTGTTCACATCACGTGAGCAACAGGTTCTGTAACAATGTGGGGGAAGTAGTTTGTCTGACCACCACTGGTAGATTTTCCTTTTATTTTGTTTACACAGACAGGTGAATAACCTTTTGTGTTGCCCTAACACAACGGAAGTGGTGGGAGGTTTACTCTGCAAGTAGATTATACCGTCCAAACAGCGTGCAGAAAGAATTCTTTAGAGAAAAAAGATGCATTTGATTTTGATCGATTTTTAGAACTTAAAAATTCTGAAATTTGATAATTTAAAAACTTGATTATACACATGTAATATAAGTGTAATATTATAGTTGAATATATTGTACTAATAATTTGTATGTTTCAGGATCATGAGACATCCTTGTCAGCTGCATTTGTGAGATTTCTAGAAAGTGAATCAAAGCCTAAACCACAGTTACCTGCCTTACCGATTCAAACATCGGTTCGTATAAAACTATTTATCTTTTTCGTTAAGAATACGTAGAAGAAGAAGTCATCGATTTTAGAAACCATAGAGTTCATGAAAAGACAAGGGAGAACCTGTTATCTTCTTACCATAAAAGAATAATAAAAGCGGGTGACGAGACACTTCTTCTTCTGCGCTTCTTTTTAACTGAAGGAACCCTCAAATTATAATACTTACTTTAATTGAACGAAATTGTATAATGCCTTCAGGCTTTACCACGACCCGGCCACAGTAGACAACATTCTACATCGTCAACGCAGTCTACGTTATTGCTTTCGAACGTGAATCTGCCAACATTCCCAGACTTCGTTCCAGCCAGAAATACAGGATCAATTCTGAAAGAAGTGTTGAAGGATAGCTGATATTAAAGCTTCCAGGATACCCTGTTTTATACGCTTTAAGACTGTAGTGGAAAGCAATCCTTAAAGAATTGAATTTAAAAGGGGTATACAGTGATTAAACTAAGATCGTTTTTACAGAAGAAAAAAAAGTTTATTCAGTTTCAGTTTCAGTTATGCAAATAAATTTATGACTAAGCATTAACGAATCATTTTGTCTAAAATCGTACAACGAACGAGATAGTATATTTACAGTATTAAATCTATTTACGTATATTTTGTGATACGTGCTGAAATTATCGGAACATATTTTTCTGCGTGCTCGTCAGAGTGCTATTACACGTTACTCTTAATCTAATTTGAATGTATTGTTACTATGCCTTGATTGAACCAACTCATTTTCTTAAGTTTTACAACAATTGTGTATATAAGAGTACGCGCGCTAGGAATAAGTACGACGTGGTGGGCTAGCAATAAATATGTAACAAATTTATGTTAAATATACTATATTATAATGCTTCTAATTATACTGGCTAATTATTTCATAAAATCCTGACTCCGCATTTAGCTTAAGAGTGTAAAAGTTTTATCTTAAGGGTAGAGATGTCCAAAGAACAAGTCCAGAAGTACATTTCAAATATTTTATTAAAAAAGAACCTTAAATTATTTTACAAAAACAAAGTTCTAAATGTTAAAAATATTAACAAATACGAGAATATAATACAGGAACACAAAGTACGAGGTATACATTTACAGTCAAATACATATTTGGTACATAAAGATTTTATTTCTCCTCCTTCTTCTCCTCCGCTCCTGCTTCTTTCAACGCAGGTTTGCCGGTCTGTTCGATGGTGACGTTTCTTTCGTTTTGCGTGATCGCTTTGTCTTTCCTGGGTGCCGTAATGCTGAGTACACCATCAGACGACAATGTGGACGTTACCTGATCGATGTCGCATTGCTCAGGTATCAGGTACTTTCTGACAAACTGTCTCGAGATCCAACCGTGCTCGTCTTGCTTCTCCTCGTGTTTGCCTTCGACGACGACGCATTTGTCGACGATTTTGACGTTGATTTCTTCTGGTTTGAATTGCTGGACATCCAAGACTACCTGGAACTTGTCCTTGTCAGCCTGCACGGTGGATGTGCCGCCTCCTTCGGTGCTCCTCAGCAGTTCACCCCAAGGTCTGTAGTACAGCAGAGGTGATTTGAAGAGTCTTCGGTCCCGGCTGGGCAGAAGATATTGTTCTAGGATGGATGGATTGCGTAGTTGTTCAGGATACAGGCCCAAACCGAAGTTCTGGTCGAACAGCCGGTGCGGGTGGTCCAAGTCCTCCCACCAGTTAGAGAACAGCAATGGTACCAAAGACATTTTTGGATTACTGATGTACTGAATTACTCTCGTAAATGTTTAAGACTCGCAGAGTAAATCGCTTTGTCGTCTTCTCGCTTTGAGAATCTTGTTCGCTTCGCTTTGCGTAGAACACTGTCGCTACGCCTCACGGCGCGCGTATTTATACCGGCAGGCCGGCGGTAGGTGGAGCGTCCAGAACGTTCTAAATCCGTAAACATATTCGAGAAAATTCGTTGTTTTATTTTTGCATCAAAGTATATTTTAGAGCATGTACGTGACTCACCGACAATTTCAATGTAAAATTGCATTCGTCCAACGGATGCATCGGTCATTAATTTGAAAATTGAGCAGAAGTTTGCGCTACGCGGTCGCAACGTACTAGATGTAGCTAGTGCGTAGTTTCGTAAAAACCCTATATTTATTTCGATCGGTTTATTTATGTTTTTAAATACGTTTTACCTCGAGAAAAATGTTAATCTTGCTTTTTTATTGACGTTCTTTGCGTGATTGACTGAAACGTTTCTCAACGAAAAAACGAGTCGTTTCTAGAAATCTTATGATACGACTGTACGAGCGACGTGACTAATGCGGCTAGCAATGTCATTCGAAATAAAGTTTATTGGATCATGCAACGGAAAGATACAATGTATTTTTATATGAAATTAGTAATTTTTAAAAGAAGTTCCAATAAAATATGTAGTATTATTAAATGCGTGACGTGTTGTCTTGTATTTTGAAAATTGATTATTTTATCGGACATTTGTTCTTATCAGCAATAATCGTAAGACATACGTTTGTAATATTCGTTTATTGATTTCTGATGTCATATTACATCAGACAAATATGACAAAAGTCATGAGATAAACAATTAATATTTTTTCAACAAAACTCAATGTAATTCTGCTTTGTCTAGCAATTTCGCAACACATAATATTAATTAATAATTTCAACGATCATCGTCGTTGTGCCAGTTCTAGACTTTTCTAGAATTTTCCGCTTTGTGCCAGTTCTAGACTTTTCTAGAATTTTCTACGGAACATTTTTTCGACAAGTCAGACATATATGTATGCCTGTTAAAGATAAATAAGTACCATTTACTCGTCTTACACCGCTTTCTAAGTACATATCCTATTACCCTTTCAAGAAATAAATCCAACCAGTGTGAGAACGTAATTAAATATCACTGTCAACTTTCATAATTCATTGTACTTTGTTCTATTAATTTCTTCGTTTATTAGAACGTTAGGAGAACGTTCGTATTTCATTCAAATTTATCGCTGACAAGGTGATTATTCAAATCGAAATTTTGGTTCCTCGAGTTATATTTAAGCCACCGTTCGCTCACACCTTCTGGACCTTTCTTAACCCATGGGGTTTCGGTATTGATTTTCTTCGTCCTAGGTCAAGCTGTTCCCTTTAAATTTTACCTAACAAGAAGGCTATCCTGTGACCAATGTCTGGAGAAAAGATTCTACTTGGAGTATCATTCGAACTCAGGTCTAATTCTGTGCGAAGTAAAATCGATCTTTCTCGGTGTTTCTAACTAAGTTGTTGGCTTACGTTGGCTGCAAGCCCACATGCTTTATCATCGCATCGGTCAACGTACTCCGAGCAATTCTAGACACTTCTAGGTACAAATCGAAGCACTTTTACTATGAGGAACAAAGTTGACACGCATCATTTGCGCATTCATGTGGATACTATTTTCTATTTTAACATTCTGGCAACCTTCGTCACGTTATTTTAGACAGATCTTATTTTATGCTGGATATGTATACTATTTACAGACTGATAATTATTCATTTTGTAATGTAGATTCAGGCATAATTTTCTGGGTGTATAAAATTAGATGGTTGTACGATAAAATGTGACCATCAGAGCGTTGCGCGTGTACAGCGTCACGTATTCCTTTTGACGTTCGAGTAAAAAATTTATCCTTATATTGTGTTTTTAAGTAATATACTGACGAATATAACTGTTTAGAAAACTGATAAATATGCGATTTAATATAAAAAATCATTAATATGTAATTTAGAAAAAAATCATTTTCGCAAACAAACTGAATGCAAAATTAATTTTTGTATTTAAATTGAAATGTTTATTAAAAATACTTATTAAAATAGGATGCACATTATACAAATTTTAATACGAATGTTTTGTTTAGTATGAAATATTTTATTTTGGTTAAAAATCATTGCTCTTCTCTTAACATTTAAATTACTGATTTTAATGAAAGACTGATATCAACGTTAAATAAAAATTTGTCGACCATGCAAAAATATCAATTTCTCTGTAACCAATCTCTACATTTACATTAATAAATAAGTCATTTATAAAAAATAACCTAATTTGAACTCAGCAATCTTAAGAAAGTACAAGGATTCAGGAAGAGAGGGACAAATAAAGTCTTCATTTTAAATCAAAAGAATAGTTTATTTAAACACACAAGCAATACAAAAATGTCTTTTAATGTTCTCATACTGTACATTTACAATACAATAAAGTGTTTGCATGAATAATTAAAATACAAATAGTGATGATGATGAATGAATTCTACATCTACGCAGCTTTCACGTTGCCCTTTCGTCCACGCTGATGTTGTCCCCTTTGCTGAGGCTGTTCATTCTGCGTTTCAGTATCATTCTGTTGACTTTCGCAATTGGTTAACGCAGGTTTACCCGTGTATTGTATTTTTACAACCTTCTCGTTTGATTTCGACTTTAAAGGTTCTTTCCTTGGTGCAGTGATAGATAAGATACCATCGGAGGACAAATGCGATTCTACTTGGTTGATATCGCACTGCGACGGTATAATATATTTTCTGACGAACTGTCTGGAGACCCAACCGTGTTCGTCTTCTTTCTCCTCGTGTTTGGCCTCGACAACAACGTTCTGGTCCACTACTTTGACGTTAATCTCGTCTGGCGCAAATTGTGAGACGTCCAGAGTCACTTGAAACTTATCTTTATCTGCCTGAACCGTGGATGCACCTTTTCCGTGCCTTCTGCTCTTGATGAACGGCTGGTAGCGTTTTCGGAGTCGTCTGGATGATGGTCGATAGAGCAGGACATCTGTAGTCAGAGGCTCTAGATCCAGCATATCATCTGGATCTACTACCGTGCCAAAGTGTTGATCCCACAAGCGATGAGGTCGGTCTAGATCCTCCCACCAGTCGGAGAACAACATCGGTATTAACGACATTACGAAAAGTTATTCAATTCACAAACGCGCCAAACACTTCGATATCACGATTCTAATTTAAGCCTTGTTTACTACAGCTATTCTATTTTTAGAACGACTATTATTATGTAACGAGTGAATCGCTTATTCGCAACCGGTTGTCCAGCCGCACCGTTATATCGTTCACACGTGAATCAACCGTCGGCAACCACGCAGTTCTCTTTATACGTTGCGCGCTAGACAAAATGGTGGGGGCGCCGCGTGTTCGAGAACACCCTGGAAAACACCAGAGGTGTCCTTGAATGCGCTATCTTTTTCGGGCTAAAGATCAGTTCTGTTACGGACCTGCGCAATACGATGTAAACAGAGTCGATTCGGGACCCGCCATAATCTGATATGCGATGACGCTGCTTTCAGACGTGTCTACTGAATGAGTTTGCTTTAAACCTTTAGGAACTGGTTCTGTTCATTCGTTTTTTAGTCATGCAATTAACGGCATAATTAACTGGAGAATTATCAAAGTTGTTAATTTAGAAAATAAAAAATTAATAAACTAATGAAGTTAAAAATTTGAAACTTGGAAAATTTGCGAATTTAAGTTTGAAAATTTTTCAATTAAAAATAATAAAACAAGTATATAGAAATAACTTTAGTTATTTATAATTATATGTACTATAGTATTCAGGTCAAGGCGAAGTTTCGATCATGGCAGTCAATGAATCGATACCATAAATGTGAGGTTATTAAATAATTATTTTTGCAGTAATAAACTCGAATATTTTTAGTCGTTTATTATTAAATTCTTATCTTTACATTCTAATGTTAGGTACTTTCATGTACAGAGTTTCAGAACGATCATAATTTTTTAAGAACTTTGAAATTTACAAAGCTTAAAATTTCAGAGAAATTTTAATTGGTTAGAACAAAAATTTGTTGAAAAATTTTGAATACTCAAATATATTGATGAAATTTATTTAATGAATGTGTCTAAATGAGATGTCTAAAATCACCTAATATGCGAGGAACAAATAAAATGATACAAATTCTATAACTCGTAGTTTATTCGAAAAAGAACAATACAAAATAAGATAAGGCAAAACTACGTTTATTGATAAGAAAATAAAACCAGAAAAATAGTATGATACCATAGGTATCGAATAAAGTCGATAAACCGTAGTCAGTCTATTGCACCATAAAGGTGCGTTCTCACGTAAGAGGAATGTATCGCTACATTTATTAAAAGGCATACATTTATAAATATCACATCGAATAAATACTCGCGTTAGGAGCTACAAAATGCGTGTACAATAATGCAACAATTAGGAAGGTTTGCAGAAAACTTCGCGAACTTATTACTCTGCTTTCTCCTCCTCCTCCTCCTCCTTCTTGTTGTCTTCCTCGGTTTGACGCACTTCAGCCGGCTTGCCGGTATGCTCGATGTTGATTACTCTTTCACCCTCGGAAGTTAGTTGCTGTTTTCGAGGTACGATGATGGAGAGGATACCGTCGGAGGAGAGCTTCGACGACACCAGGTCGATGTCACATTGTTCAGGTATCATGTACTTCCTCGTGAACTGTCTGGAAATCCAACCGTGCGCGTCTTGCTTCTCCTCGTGTTTTCCCTCGACGATCACAAAATGGTCGACCACTTTCACGTTAATTTCATCAGGTGAGAATTGTTGCACGTCGAGGTCCACACGAAACTTGTCCTTGTCGGCTTTCACGGTCGATGCACCCCCGTTCTCTCGTCGCAACATTTCGCCGCCCCATGGCCTGTAATAAGCCATGGAATATTTCGGAACACTGTCGTTTAAACGCCCCATGTTAACCCCGAGACCGAAATCTTGACCCAGCATTCGATGGGGACGTTCCAGGTGTTCCCACCAGTTGGAGAAAAGTAATGGTAACAGGGACATATTGACTACCTGAAAATTTTTCAATTAATTTTCTTTATCGAGTTTTGGATTTCAAATGAAGCAACCTTATTACATACTTTTAAACGGCTGAGCGAACTTTGTCACGATGCACCAATTCTGGCCAATGCGACTGCTCTCAATGTACTGGTGTGGTTCGCAACATGACCGTGCCATTTAACAGGAGGCGCTTCGATCGAACGGCTGAGCATCTATATGTAAAATTTGAATCGAGCTTGATATGAACTGCTTTTAAATGAGGTATTTTTACAGCTGTTTTAAGCAGGGAACAAACAGCGAACGTAACAAAGACTAAAAAGGCTATAAAGTCTTTTCATTTGAAAACTCTTTATAAATTATTAATTTGAAAACTTTTTCCATTATTTTGCAATTATCCTAAGTAAAATAATACATCATGAAATTTGTGAATATTTCGAATATGTAAATAAACTAACACACTTTGTTAAAATCTTCGAGTCTATGGTTCTTTATAATAATAGTATCATGCTTATTAAATTCAAAGAATATCTTTCTAGAAACATATGTACAAATTTTTATTTTAGATTGAAATTTTGCAAAATGTTTCGTTAAATCAATTTTTGTTATAAAAAATACGTATCTATTTTTTGTTATTTTTGTATTAATATAAGGGTTCAAAAATACACTTTCTTTAAAGTAAAAATAGTCATGGTGGTTAAAATTTTCTGAATAATTCTGAATAAATATTAAATTGTAACGTTAAGGTGAAAATGTGAATATTTTAAACTGAACACGATACTTTCATGGTGCAACATACTTTACATTGCACCCGGTTTGTCAAGGTACAAAATTGAGATTACAATAGGAAGACAAGGAACTTGGCTAACCGGTTTTCCCGAGTAGAATCCCATGGGAATAAAACTAAAAAATTTAACGAAGTCCAAGATACTCTATAAATAGAAATAAATTACTACAATAAAAATTCTTCGATTTTTAGATATTTGCAAATTTTTATGAATTGTAAAAATTTAATTTTTATTGTTAAACGGGAATGAAATAAATTGCAATACTTATCAAAAAATGAAAAAAATCTATCATAAAAAATACTGAAGGTCTCAATGCCTTATATTTACAAAGTTTTATGAATTGTAAAAATCTAATTTTTGTTATTAAACGAAGAGTTAAATAAATTTTAAAATTTATCAAAAAAAAATGAAGAAAAACTATCATAAAAAATACTGAAGGTCTCAATGCCTTTTAATTACAAGAATTCTTAATACTAAAGATAGAGAAAACACCAAAATTAAGTTATAAATTATTTTATTAAAAAACAAGGGAAGTGTAACGATTTCATACAATTTTACATCTATATTAAATAGAGTATATAAATCAGTTCTAACCTACAATAATTGCATTATGACAATATACATATAAAACAGAGAATAGTCTGTACAAAAAGAAAAATGTAGGAACCATAAAAAATTAAGTCTTATTTCTCAGGCTTCTCTTCCGTCGTCTCAGTCGTTTCCTCACGACTCTCGCTCTCTTTGGTCGTTTTTTCTGTGCTGGTAGTCGTTCCTCCACCTTCCTTCTCGCTCCGAAGGGCAGGTTTACCGGTGAACTCGATTTTGATCGTCCTCTCGTTCTGTTTCTCCTCCGTCTTCTTCAAAGGCGCGGAGATAGTCAAAATACCATCGGAGGATATGTTGGAAGCCAGTTCGTTTTCGTCGACTTGTTCCGGAAGCAGGTACTTCCTCACGAATTGTCTGGAGATGAAACCATGCTCGTCCCTCTTCTCCTCGTGTTTGGCCTCCACGACGATGAAGCGATCGACCAACTTCACGCTGATCTCTTCTGGTTTGAACTGCTGCACGTCGAGGATGACCTTGAAGGTGTCCTTATCGGCGGTTATGGTGGATGTACCGCCCTCTCCTTTTCGGAGGATGTCGGTAAAAGGTCTGTAATACAGATCAAGGACACCTCTGTTGCCCAGAGGAGAGAACCTGTCTATCCCGGGATACACCAGTTGTTCAGGATAGAGTCCCATGCCGAAATTCTGATCCAGCAATCGATGGGGACGCTCCAAATCCGCCCACCATGCGGAGAACAACAACGGCAGCAACGACATTCTTCCGATCGGTGACAGTATCTTGAAAATTTACTTTTCGAAAAAATTCGAGCACAGAAGCACGTTAGAAACACACAGATCTCGCTTCGATACACGCTTGTTCGCTGTCTCGGTTGTAACTGGAGCTTTGCCCTCTGCGACCGCTATTTATGTGCTGGGCTTTCTATGTGGTGGTACATTATCTATATCTACAGGTTTCGAGAAGTTACCGGGCTAAAACGAAAATGTCAACTGCGAGTTTTGCTTCGTTTGTTTCTGTACACGATAGCCGATTGTGCGAGAGGTAATTAATACTGTTTTCCACTTCTCGTTGCATTATCGATCAATTTTCACGAGCGACTCGACACGCCGCTGTTTTCGCTTCGAGTACGTTCGATGTACGTTTGGGTTACGTCGAATGAAACTTCTCGAATTCGGTTTTGGGTGACGAAATAAATTAATTGGTAATTAAGATAAAGTGACGGAAGTTCGATTATCGGTCGTGGCTGATATTTTTAGAAATATATTTGGTATTTTTAACTTGGTGACTGTAGTTTGGCTGCTATTGTTATTTAATTTTGAAGGACACTTTTGTGGATATTTAAATTTTCGTTTATAAGTATTTATTGGTGTGCTGTTTTATTTTTTGCAAAGCGATTTACGCTAAAATTCAAGGCCTAAATCAATATCGTCGAGTACTCTTCGCTTATAAACAATTTACATTAGGTTACATCTTTGAAAAATTATTTTTGCTAACTTAATTTGGTAATTTTCTCATTTTAATACAAAATTGACGTTTATTGGAAAGAGTTTTTATTTAATGCTTCATATTTTTTATTTTCTTGTAAAAGATTGTAAGTAGACGATTTCTTTTGTAAATGACGTTTATGAAGAATGTTGTACCGAATTCCTACATAATGGTTGTACGAAATCGGAGATAATTGAATAATCTGATCAACGTAACAGTTACGTAAGTGAAAAGAAAGGAATTTAGCTTATCATTTTTCGTAATTTGCACTTTATTTACATTCATTGTAACAATTATTTCTTGAAATACTGTTTATTATCCATATTTTCACGTAATATCAAGAAAAAGTAAACTTAAAAAGAAAACAGAATAAGGTAATGGTATCTTCTACAAAAGTCTAGAATTTTCGATATCTCTTTTCTGTATTGAGGTCAACGTTCTCGTTGTTTCCAAGATTATTTTCTTTGTTAATACTTTAATAATAGTAAAATAATTTTAAAATGAACATTTGTTGAATATGAATAAAATGAAAATGGATATTTTAAGTATATTATAATCGTGAAATAAATCTTTAAATTATTCCTTGTAATTTTAATTTATTATCTTATACTGATTCTTTAAAAAAATATTCAATAGTAAAATCAGTTTTTCTTTTCATGTAAATTAAAAATTTAATTAAGTATGTTAGCAGATATGGTTTTTCTCTGTTAACACATAAAGTGATTATTTAATGTAAAGTATTACATCATTCACATTATGAAGAAATATATCATATTTTTTTATTTAAACTAGAACATTCTGAACGTTACTGTCAAAGCTTCTTCAAACTTTCACATACTGCGTGCGCGCAATCTATAAATATCGAACTTTCTACAAAATCGTTTTGTCCGGGAGTTCCCGAATTTTCCAAATGGATCAATCTCGAATCATGCGTCTGCGCACTCTTGCGAATTCGCTTACAGAGATAACGTGACAACCGTTAAGTCACCTGCGTATTACTCATCGTAATTGACATCTGTCAGAAAAAAAGAGAACATCCCGAATTAACCATAGCAGTGACGCATCATTCTGAGGCGTTGCCCTAAATGCTTTCTCTGCAAAATAAGTTGATTAATACACAAGTATACTTGCGTTTACTTTATGTGAAATTTGAGTTTCTATAAAAAAGACATCCATTACTTTCTAAATTTATAAAAAATGTATAATGTACGTTTAAATAAATAAATTAATATTCCAATGAATTCATACAAAATTTGAGCTTCTATAAAAAAGACATCCATGTCTATTTTCTAAATTTATTAAAAATGATCTTTTTAATGTATGTTTAAATGTATAAATATTCAATTAAGTAAATAAATTAATGTTTCAACGAATTCATGCAAAATTTAATGTTTCATGTGTTTCTTAATTTAAATAATAAAAAACACACATGTGTCCATCCGAACCCACCTTCGATGAGCCATAATCCGCGATAAGTTTATTTTCTCCGCGTCTGCGAATATTTTTTTAATGATAATCACGTAGAAAATAGAAGCTTATCTGCGAACGGTGTGTTTTGTGCGTAACTGCACTACGAGTATCCAAAATAAAATTTATTATGAAAAATGATACAAATAATGGCACAGTATGCTATCAGTAAAATTCCGTAGTATAAATATCCCGAATAAAAATTTATTATAAAAAATTATACAAGTAATTTACTTTGACACAGTATGCTCCGTGCATCAACGAGAAATTGAATTTTTAGCAAAATGGTTACTGGAATGTTTCAGAAGGTAAACAACCATGCTATTTTTTATCTTGGAAATAACTACCCCTCGGAATTACTGCGACGCAGATATGGCGTCTCTGCTCTTGGAAATAAAGATAACGAAATGCGTAGTAACCTTGCCATAACCTTCCCCTTCTAAATGGGGTTCGCAGGATTGTGATGTAACCAGATTGCTGATCAACCACAAGGCCAATGTCCAAGGCAGTTCCTGCTGAATAAACGTTCGAACTGACCAACGCAGACTGACGTTCGATTTTTCTCTACTTTCGGATATTTATGTTTCTCTGATTAAATATTTACTGGGAAGTGTTGTTTGGTTAGTGAAATAAGTAAGGACACGTTATGGGACTTTAAGTATAATTTCTATTATTATTTAGTTTTATTAGTAAATTTATGTTTAATCCTTAATTTTATATATTGATATTGTTAAAAGACATTTTATATATAGATATTGTTAAAAGACATTTTATATATTGATGTTATTAAAAGATATTATTAAAAGAGATTATATCAACTGCTATAATCATTTGAGTTATAGTGCTAACTACTAACGTGTATTGTACTAACGTTATCGCAAAATAATGTTACTGAAAAATTAATCAATTTCCAATAACAGCTCTTAAGAATGTTAACAGAAGAATTGTAATATGTAATGAATGACTATAGATAATTTATCGCAATTTCTATGGCAAAAATATTTGTGTTTGGCACTGTCTGTACCTTTTTATCGTCGACTTAACGTATACGTGTCGTGAAACACGGAAAATGAGTTACGCAGTTTCGGAGCAAGATAAATGCGCAGAAATTCATTTTATATATCCATTTCTGCCATAACCATGAAACAGTTTTGAAAATCTCTAAACTGTTCTAAAAACATATAAAATATCTTGAGAAACTAAACAGTCTTGCAAAATTAAATTGTATTTAATTATGTTTCATAGGAAATATATAGAAAGTTCATTTACAATTATTATAATATGTATAACAGTGTATTATTTGACGTAATCATTTATGGGAAAATGATAAATAGTAATTTAAGTAAAGAAACTAATTATTTAATCAGCGCCGTTAATGAGCTTCTCGATAACTTCAATTTTTTGTACAACTGTGATGACGTTCTTGATCAGCGGAATACGAATATCAAAACAAAAGTAAACGTAAGAAATACGTAACATTTGAGACGTAAACGTTTCTACAACGTTGCTGCGACGTTAACCGTGCGTTTGGCCCACGTCAGAACGTCGATACAAGCAAGCAGATACGTTGTGGAATACTCTTGAGACATCATCCAATGAATTATACAGTGATTGGTATAGTGAATTGTATAGTAATTATAATTTAAACTAATTGAAACTTCAACTAAAATTATTTTAGAGAGACCTATTTATTTTGCATTAAAAACTGGTGAAAATTGAGTTAGAGATAGAATAAAATAAAACAGCTATTTTAATAAAAAATCTTTCATTATGTTATACACTGTAAAAGTGATAATAATAGTGGTAGCATAATATAATTGATATATTGGTTATTATAATTAAGAATGTGTGTAATAATTGACCCAAAATAATTTTATATTGATTCAAAGAAGGACACCATTTTTAACAAACATGAAACACACAGTATTCCACAGTAGTTCACTTTATTGAATTTTAATTGCACACTGCATTAAAAAATATGTACTAAATTAACTTACTAAAGTATTACAAATATATTTAAAAAAATAATATCAATATGTAATTCTAATATCCTTCAATAAAATTAGGTGCACTACTATATTTGACAGAATAACTAAAAAATTAATTAAATGTATTTTAATTTGTATTAAAATAAATATGAGATGTACAACAAGGACATGACAAATTTCCTGATGTAACAAAAATAACTTGTATAGATAACAAAATTAAAGCCAAGTCATAATACAGCTGATGCAACACTCACTTAACCTAGCGAATAGGTTGATGCAATTTCCTAACAATTCTCAACAATTTCTTAACAACTTAATAACACCTAAAGCTTGTATAAAACATTGTTTCTGAGGTCTAATAATTATCAGAGTAATTATCCATAATTATCCTCAATCAAATATCTGGGAAGAATACACAATACTTTACACATAAAGGAATTTTTGCGTTAGATCAGAGCTGTTAAAATTTCAAATCGCTGTTACGTCATTGGTAACATCGGTCGATACCAAACGCGAGCATTATTCGAATTTTCAAACATGAAAGAAAGAATGAAAGAAAAATTCGAAGGTTAGCTAAATACTATAATTAACAAAAAATTAACATCTAATGTACATCTATATTTAATCAGAAATTTTGTAGAACGTTCTAGAATTTTCGTGAAAGAAAGATCAATCGAGAATCTACCTACTGCACGTGCTCGAAGCTCCATGAACTATATATAGGAATAGTGTAGCCGGCTCACGCGACAGTGCATAGAGAACAAGCGTGGCGTTCGCATCGTTCACGTAACCTCATATCAAGCTTCTCAGTGATTTTAAAAAATAAAAATGAGACGAGGTGTAACATTGATTCCAAGATTGTTTTCCCACTGGTGGGAAACGTTGGAGCAACCACATCGGTTGATGAACCAACACTTCGGCAGAGCGTTACGACCGGAACAGTTCTTCAATTCGGTATTCGATAGATCACCATTTCGCATGTCCCCGATGCAATATGCATTTCAACCTTGGTTAGAGTGGGAACGCGAAGAAAAGGCTGGATGGTCGATATTAAAGGACGATAAAGACAAATTTAAAATCATTCTCGACGTGCAACAGTTCAAACCTGAAGAGGTTAACGTAAAAGTCGTCGACAATTATATCGTCGTAGAAGGTGAGTGTTTTAAAATAAAATTACGCGCTCTCTTGTGATCTGCTGCGTAACTATAGTGGGGGACAGTGCGTAGTACTAATAAATTGTAATTGAAGTGACTATTTTTATTTATTTGTAATGACGTTTGGTGATTTTTAAAATTTTAAACTTTTTCATTTTTGAGTTGAATGAAGTATTTATTCCTTTCTTTCGACTATAGTTATGTTGCTAGGTTATTACGTATATGCAACGAATACTAATCTATATCGAATACTAATTTTCCTATAATTATTTTTACAGGAAAACATGAAGAAAAGGAAGACGACCACGGTATGATTTCGAGACACTTCGTCAGGAAGTACTTAGTTCCCGATCAATGCGATCCTGAAAAGGCGACGAGCAGTTTGTCCTCAGATGGTGTTTTGACAATAGTTGCACCAAGGAAGCCGGAAGCCATTGAAAACAAAAAAGAAAGGGTTATTAAAATTGAACGCACGGAAAAGCCATCAGAAGAAGAGGAACCTCAGAAATTAAGACAAGCTCAAAGCCAATAGAAATTTGTTGACTGTTTTTTTACTTATGTGTTTAGTATATTTATCAGTCTTTCATCTGTGTTCCTTCATTTAGTGTATAGATACATGTATAAATAATTTTTACGTTTCTGTAAGTTAAGTCTGAATTTGTACGAATTAAATAAAAACTTTGTACAAAGAAAATAATTGTTGGGATTTTATGAGTGTCCATTTCTGCTAATTAAAAAATTTTTAATTGTCATAACTGAATAGAATAATTCTGTTTTTTAGAAAATTAAGTTAAACTTTGATTTAAGTGCAAAATTTGCATTATTTTTCGATTGGAATTTAAATTTTCATCAAAACAAGATATTTTTTGGTATATTCATAGTAAAACTAGGCTGAATATAAATAAATATAATACTGAAAATAAATATCATTTTAAGTTAATTCATTTGAAAATTAATATTTCAAAGTTATAAGGTTATAAAAGAAATATAGTTATCCTTTTGTATTGTGCGTTTGAATATTTAGATTACCGAATCGAAGTAGATAAGGTTATGTTGTTTGCCGGCTGCGTCGAAACGTCTCGTAAACGACCAGAACGTTCCTTTAAATATTTCAACGAATTAAATTCAAGCAATTTGAATATTATTTGAAAAACATAATTTCAGAATGATTACTCAAATAATTTATTCTGCGATTTGATGATTAAATGCTGTTTAAAACAATTTTGCATTAGTTTATTTAAATAAGAAAATGGATTCTCTTTGAATTATTTCACTATTTATATTTTGTATTGATACTAATTTTTATCAAAATAATTTTTAAAATACTTACTATTCCTTTTGTTAACATTGCCAGCTGTGTCAAAATATATATTTTGAAAAATATAACAAATTCATTCAAACTCAGGTTAGTTTATTCCGACAAAATATTTTATTCTTACAAAAATGATTATATATGTTAAATTATTTATTTCAATGAAATCTTAACAAATTATTAAGGGGATGATTTATTTGAATTTCATACAAAATAAACAACTTTTATTTCTCAAATAAAAGTAAGTGAACTGTAACCGATTATGAATATATTTCAAATAATTTTATTTTGAACAAAGTATACGCAAGTCTGATATAAAATTGTATATTATGTCCGATATTAAGTGATACTGATACTTTACAATGCACTATCAGCAATGCAGTTCTGTGGAACAATGATAATCTTATCGAGCACCAAAGAAATAATCTAACAATTCAAAACTCAACTCTAAAGTTATATTTATTTTTCGCAATGTCTAGAACTTTTAGAACCGAACTGTTTATTTTATATTCAACTATGTCCTTCAAAACTAATAACGACTTTGCATTTGAAACGAAAACGAAATCGATAACAAGATACTTTATGGAATTTATGGGATGGGAAATGTAAGGATCAATTCACGACACAAATTTAATTTTAATTTACTTATAAATTTATTAACATAAAAAAATGACACACATTGTCTTTAATAGTCTTCTTACTGACAGAGAATATATACACATACGTATATTAATCTCTAACGAAAACGAAATGATATGCTATGAAACGAAATGACAACTTATAAATATAAAAACCTATCGTTGAACGTTGGTGAACTAATAACATATAAAATACTATAATATTTTTAAACCGTAGATAAACGATTAATGACTATATCGAATAGGAATATCATGAATGGCAGATAGTAGTACGGAACCTCTTCACTTCTTCTCTTCTTTCTTCTCCTCGCCCTGCTTCTGCTGCTGCTGCTGCTGTTTCGACGGTTTATTCTGGATCGCCGGTTTGCCGGTGTGCTCGATCTTAATGGTTCTCTCGTTCTCGATCTTAGGTTGGTCCTTCCTTGGTGCAGTGATGGTAAGTACACCGTCGGAGGAAAGCTTCGACTGAACCTGGTCGAGATCGCACTGTTCCGGTATCATGTATTTTCTCATGAACTGACGGGAGATCCAGCCATGTTCGTCGCGTTTCTCTTCGTGCTTCGCCGAGACCACCACAAACTTGTCGACGACTTTAACGTCGATCTCGTTAGGCTCGAATTGCTGGACATCGAGCACTACCTGGAACTTGTCCTTGTCGGCCTGAACGGTCGATGCACCTCCCTCGCTCGTGCGAAGCAAATCAGCCCAGGGTCTGTAGTACGATGCTCTTCTTCGTGGTTGCAAATACAGCTCCATGCGGCTGGGGGACAGCAATTGTTCCGGGTACAGACCCAAACCGAAATTCTGATCCAGCAGTCGGTGCGGGCGGTCCAAATCCTCCCACCAGTCGGAGAACAGCAATGGTACCAGAGACATGATGATTTTTAAGTCTTGTTATGCGATGAAATTGAAGAAAACGTTATTTGAAATGTTATTGCTTTGTGTCGTTTAGGCAACGAGAAATTCGCTTGAACTCGCGATGTTCACTCGTCGGTTGCTATGCAAGTACTGCTTTCGGAGCCGGCTGCGATCGTATTTATGGTCGAGCCGGCGCAGGTCGCGACGATTCGCGAAACTTCTAGAATCGAACAGTTATCCAGACAGCGCTGTATAGCATATAACGTTCATGGAAGGCAAAAGCCGGCTCACGTAGGCAATTTATTCGAATTATTATGTGTTTACACATCTAACGAACACGTAGAAACAAAATCGAGATCGTTTATCTTCTAATTATTACCTACATCATGTTGCTTCTTTTTTGCTGGAGAATTCTATCGGATGTTTTTCATACTGGATGATACGGAATTTATTTATGAATTTTGTTATAAACTGGAAATTGTCTTGTTTTATACAGTACAAAATTTTGAAATTTAAGTAGGCTCACGTAGGCAGTTTGAATTGTTTTGTATTTACAAGTTTGACATTAGACCTACCGGCTTTCGGCGCACGCTTATTTTTAAATCGAAAACAAAAAGAACTGAATAAATAATGGATGAAAAGTAATATAGGATGTATGAATATCTTTTATCTTTGCAAAAGTCAGTGTGTAATTCGATAAAGTACCTTAACGAAATTTTTTAATTAATTTAGAGTATTGTATTGATTCCTTTGATAATCTTACTTTTAATGGACGTACATATATTTTTCTAAATGAAAACAAAACTGTTTATGTATTATTTATAGCCGATTTTGTATAATTTTAGTTTTTCTAGAGAATTCTAGTTCTGGAACTTTCACCTAACTTTTCCTATTGTTTTATGATTTTTTAAATAATTTGTTAAGATTTGGAAAATATTGACTTAAAAATGTCAAAAGGTATTTCAGAAGTTGATTAAAATTTATTTAAATGCAAAATAGAAAGTTGTAACACTTCAGAACTAAATAATGGAATAATCTAGAAAAATTTCAGTTTTATGTAAAAATAAACTAAAACACAATTATTTAAAAAAATATCTGGTCAAGTATAGCATTATAATATTCAAATAATTATTTTCTACATAAAATTTGAATAATATCCAAAACTAATTTATATTACAAATCAAGTAATGTATTATAATAACTAAAAAGTGCAAATAAATAATGCTGTAAGTGCCAAAATTAAATATCTCATGATTGGACTTCATATAAACACATTTTTCATTAACAAAAAACAGTTTTGTAAGAACATAACATTTACAACCTATATTACTTGCACTCGTCAATTAATAACATAAAAATACTATTTTCTGAAATAAAAGAGAGGTCCCATGAGAGATTAAACTTAGAATAATTCAAATTTTATATTAAATCAATATATTTCATACAGGAAACATAAGAAAATTTACAATTATATCCAAACATGTATGTTGTGTATTTGTACACGTTCTCTTCTGAAATGACATTTATATTTTAATAGAATGACACATATTCTGAGTCACTGTACTTTCTCGAACCGTGACTTCGCATTGTGCACATTCTGATCAGCTGTATTCTGTCAAAATTTTTAATTTTTTGTTTGATGTCTGGAAAGCTCGATTTCGGGAAAATTCTATATACCGGCTACTAGTACCCCCACTATGTTCCTGGACGAAAGCAATATATAGACGCGCGCAGCGGCCATTACGAGTACATTTGAAGGAATCTTTAACGGTGACGCTTACTGCTGCCAAAAGTTGTATTCTAAGCGCGAAAAACAGTGCGAGATTATAAATTAAAAGAGTGAGTTACAATTTTGAGTGATATAGAGAATAAGTCTGTGAGAACAAATTCATATTTTACTGAAGGTTACAGAAACGGAAGAAAGGATGTCTCTTCTACCGATGCTATTCTCCAGCTGGTGGGAGGATCTGGAGAGACCTCATCGTCTCTTTGATCAACATTTTGGGTTAACATTGAGTCCTGACGAACTGCCTAGTGCTTTGGCGCCTTTCGAGTCTGACGTTCTGGTACTTAGACCACGTCGTCGTGGAGTAAGGAGATACCAACCTTATGACAGAGCTGTTGAACGTAAAACCAGTGGAGCATCAACAGTACAAGCTGACAAGGACAAGTTCCAAGTAACATTGGATGTTCAACAATTTGCACCAGAAGAAGTGACTGTCAAAGTTGTGGGCAATAATGTAGTCATCGAGGGCAAACACGAAGAGAAACAAGATGAACATGGATGGATCTCCAGACAGTTCGTACGAAAGTACCTTGTACCAGAACAGTGCGATATCGATCAGATTCAGTCAAGTTTATCATCTGATGGAGTATTAATGATCACTGCCCCGAGAAAGGAGTCTGAGCCAAAGAATGAGAGAATCATCAAAATTCAAAATACAGGACAACCTGCTTTAAGAGAAGACTCAAAATCAAATGAAGCACAAAAAGAGCAACAGGCAACACCTCAGAAAAGTGCGTCGCAACAAAGAGGACAGAAGGAGCAGACAGTTAAGGCTGCTTAAGAGATCTGTTTAATGTTGGTTGCATTTTAGCAGCAAACATGTTATATTTGTAAACAGTATTTTGTTATTTCATTGTACTTATGACTGATTTCAAACATTCTTTTCCATTCCATTCAAGTTAATATCATTGGGTTAATCTCATTCTATAATTTTTCATTGTTCCTATAAATTAGTAATTTAGATAGATATTAAGTTATTACATTTTTGACATGTCATAAAATATTGAGATTGTAAACACACCTTAATTGTTTTTGTAACTATGTATGTCATGTTATTTAAAATTTCTTTGTAATAAAGTGTTTTGTAATAAAATTAAAGTTTTTTATATAATTATTTGTGTTCATTTATTATTCCCTTAAGTCCTATTTAGGGAAAGGTAAATAGAAATAAAATATAGGAAATTCAATTTATATTAAAACTTTAATATAATTAATTGTACATTTGTGATAAAAAAGATTATAAAACCTAACAATTAAATATATAAGATTAAAAAATATGTTTCTTTGACAGTGGACGGCACTTTGATATGTTAAGATAGTCTAACTACTTACTTATATAAAAATATTAATATTTCTGAACTTTTAATAATCTTTTGGACGGAACATGTACTATGTCTTTTCTTAACACTCAATAATTACTTCACATTTTTCTGGTAACACAAAAATACTTAAAGCACTTATTTACACTATGTACAAGTGTGGAGAATCAAAATTTGAAGTAAATTTAGTTCATTTAAATGTATGCATATACCAATTGAAGTAAATGCAATCAGATCTAACTATTTAAAAAAAAAATACATTTAAGTAAATCTGAAATGTAAGAATTGAGTATTTTCTAAATATCTTATGTTGCAAATTGTATAGCAACACCTATAAATAGTAATAGGGTTGAAATTGTAATACCAGTAGCAGTATTACACCTATGATCGAAATAACAGAAACACCATATTACTTCATCATAATAATCTCTATGAATATCCAGTTGAGAAATAGAGTTATTCACATAATGTCCCAATTTAACATCTTTGGCAGCTGCTCTACAACCTTCATATCTATCTGCTGGAATGTCTGTTCTAAAGCCACGTACAGAGCTTAAACACTCTCGTGTTATCATGGTTTCCGCTGGAAAAAATTTACAAAGTATAGTTACATTAATTAGAAAATATAGTTAAATATTAATGTATTTTTAAGCTAATGCTAGTTCCTCCATATTTGTACCTCCTTTCTTTTCAATAATTTTTACACATTTGTCATCATATTCTGGGCAGGTCTCTCCCCAATACCATAACCAATTTAAAGGAGTGCCACACCCAGGCTGATTACTGTTACATCTGTAACAGTACAAGCTCTCTCCTGCAAATATAGATTGCACATTTTAAATATATAAATTTACATTAATCATATTGTTTATATATTAATAATTAAACTATCATTTTACCTTTATTAATGAGCATACTCAACAACACAATAACACAAATTATTTTGTTCATTTTCACAGTTAATGGTATAAAATATTTTAAATATACAATAAAAAATATCTTTTTTATTTGAGATATAAAGCCAAAATTTGCTGAGGTTTGTGTTTTCACTTCGTGTTTTTATAAACCTTGTACGCTTACAGTATATATTGTGTGATATACACTAATCTCTAGATTGTACATTCAAGTGTAACTCTACCTTCTCTGGGGAAAATGGCAGTTACAGGAAACAAATCCCAGTTCGACATGCACTATATATAATTTATAACCGGCAGTTTCGAAATAAATGAAATTTTCATAAGACCATGCTGACTTCTAACAGCAAGCTGCTTTATTGCATATTTTACAGAAGCGCGATGCTAAAGATTATATCACAACGTAAGTGATCGTTTTTAAAATTTATATTTCTGATCAGTTCAAAAACAGTGTGGAGATGGAGGATAGGGAAAATCAACGACGCTTATTCTCGTTACGGCCATGTTGTCACCTCTATATATTTCTCTTTTGTTTTCTGGCGCGCGCGGACAACTTGAATACACAACACCTAGATGGTGCTCTCACGGGCGAAAATGTGCGCACGACGGAGGGCGCCACAACAGTACTGCGAGTGCCATCTAACGATCAAGTGAAAAAATAATAAAATGAAATGAAATGAATGTTATACCGACATCGCAAATTGCTCTACAAAATCGAACGAGTTAGAAAAATGGGTACAACTTCGAAAAACTATCATGCTCCGATATCGATTAAATTTTTGCAACTAAGCTATCGTTCACAAAAGAAGATATCTGTGAGAATGGTTTCTGGCGATACAAAAGAAATTTTGTTGCCATTATTATGTTATTCCCTATATGATTGACGAAATATTGCGTAGTGTGCGAACTGTTCTGAATATATAATAGTTTTATTCTTATATATTGTTTAAAATTTAAATTTTCGCGCGTTTTTCAAAAAGTGACGTCATCGACCATTTTCAGGGAACTGTACCTGCCATCTTATGATTGTAAGAAGAACTAGTTTCCTGCAAAAGTTTACGCACCAAGTCAGAAGCAAAAATAAGTTTCAAGGAATATGTTATCTTTTGCAAAGGTTATAAGGAAACTTGGGAATACCGTCATGTTTCGATTCTGGCTAAATTTTGTATACAAGCTCCTTTTTTTCGAAAGATTTGTGAGGACGGTTTTTGACGACTCGAATTATGGAGAGATGCAGTATAGTGTGCAACCTGTTCTGAACACGTAATCTTCATCTTTGGATACATGGAATATATTGCAAGCAGTATTAAATTAATATTAATAAATATATAATGAATAGATAACATATTAATCAATAAAATTGATATTATATTGAATTTTAGGGAAATGGAACAAGTAGCGCCATCTCTCCGGCGAACAGGGTGAACTACACGGTTTTGAATCACCTACTTCATTAGTTCCTATTTCCACCGCTAGAGGTCTAAATACCAACTTTATAGCGAGAAACTTCAACTCCTTCGACATCTAGCGGTGAAAGATAGGAACTAATGAAACTACAGTTTTAAATACGTGTAGTTCACCTTGTTCGCCGGAGAGATGGCGCCACCCATTCAATTTTCTAAAAAATGAAAAAAGTCGATACCAAATATTCTTTAAACTTATTAAATTACAAAATATTTTTAAAAATTACTTAAAGTACATAGAATTCTTTCAGAAACTTAAAATTAAAATTGTGTATGTTATTATTATACGTAAGTATGTTATAATATAACTGTTATGTTATTGTTTACTTAAGAGTTGTATTGCAGCTATTAATAAGTTCAAAATTAATTTGAAATTGAAAATTTTATTTTTCCGTAGAACTATCTTACAGTTATGCTTCTTAAACAAAAGATTGCGCCTCAAAAAGTATTCTTCCAAACAAGTAAACTTCCAATCAATTAAATCCCAAACCCCGTCTAAACGTAGCATAATTTCCGCAATAAATAAGATCCAGCGTCCCGTGGGATATCTAACCAGGTAAAATAAACGTTAAAACTAGCGACCAGTATCTGGCAGCGATTCTCGCCACAGGAATCGGTGGCACTATATTACGATCGTTGGATACCGTCTTAGAAGAGTCGTCCTCATTGTCGCCGGTGGAGATCTGCAGATTTTGTCCTTATCCTCGGACAACCGGCGAAAACTTTCACGATAAACTCGACGCGAATGTCCTCGAAGTGTTCCCTTCGCTCCTGTTCTTTACTCCGCTTTCCAGGCTTTTCCATTCGAACACTGAAAATGCGATTACGTAATCTCGAACGGGTATACATTATACGTACATAGAGTTACACCTCCTTCTTCCTCGTATCGTTTCAGATACTTGGATATAGATACGAAAGGCAAAGGTTTGAACGGAGGAAATATGGAGGGAGGTCGAAGGGTTTTGGATATCTCATGGATTCCAGGAGTAGCCCGAGGCGTTCAACCAATTAGCTAACTCCACGGTACTTCACCCTCGAAACCGCTAACGAAGAACCTAAGCGAAGGAAGAAAACCGAGGGGTTGGTGGAGGTGAAGGAGAAATCTAGATATTCGCGAGGTGGATTCCGCTTGCTGCATGGATGATCCGCCCGCGGCTCTTCCCGCCCGTTTCTACAGCTATCCCGAAGGACCCACCGTTGCTCCGTCGCGGCTTCGTCAGTTTTACTTCGTCTTCTGTTTATTTTGGTAAGACGCTCGCGATCAACTAGATTTCCAGATACGCCGAATTGCTAGAAAATATTTACTGCCTTATACCCTTTCGGCGTGGAATTTCACCAAATACTTTTGTTACGCAACTGCACGAATAAAAGATATATTTATTTGTAATATAACAATGTATTGATTACTTAACGCTATTACATGCATTGAAATAACACTATGATGGCTGCCTATGCAGTCAAATGTCACATGGGCCTGGCAATATTTTTGGAGGATTAATTTAACAAAATTTTATGTGAAGTTTCAAAATAATTCAACGTGTGCAAACATAGATATGAAACGAACGAGAACAACAATAATTACGAGACGTTTAATATAACAAATTTAATATTTTTCTTTGTGTGATAGTTGTTAGAGCAACCACCTACGTTTATCAATCGTCACACGCATGTTGTGTGAGCAACCATTATAGTGTTCATCAGAAGAACAGAATGATTCTTGCAAAAAAATAATTACACCACGTAAGGATACTTACTTGAACATCCTACTAAACATTTCTTACTAAATTTCAAAAGAACCAAATATTTTACAAACTTGTCACTGTCACTGACAGCAATATGTCTACATCTTTAAACAATTTCAAAAGGGTTAATTTTATAGAACATAAGATATGCTTTCTACCGAAGTAACGCAAGATTAGCATTATCGAACTTCGTTCTCAATGGCGATCGTCCTTTCTTTCCCTCTGTTGGTATCCTGCTTTTATTTCCCCGAAGTTTAGAGCAGGGAATGTAAGGGTGGTTCAACGAGACCGTTAAGTTTCCATCTTGGTTGCCATTTAGCGCTTCGGAAAGCGCCCGGGGCAGTGAGACCGGTAGACAAGCTGCAGGGAAAGAAAAGGGGGACGAAAGAATGGGCGGGAAACAAAATACGAGAAACTTGGGGCAGATAAAGGGCATAAAAGTTAATAATGCTTAAAAATCGATGTTAATCACGTTAAAGAATTACATTGTGGTATTTGAAGCGGTTATAATTTGTTGTATACAGGTTTAGAGTTAACAGGAAAATTATTATGTAAGTTGTAATAATGATGCATGTATATTGAAATAGGATATATTTCTTATGAAGTAGGATATATGATTTTCTTGTAATATAAGATGCATGATACACATATATTGTAAATGCACATTCACATTGTAAATTCACAAATGTATCTACAAATGCATTTTACAAATTTATTGACAAATACATAATTTCATTAGCTAGTTTATAAGTACTTTATATCAGCTGACCTGTAACAAGGTATTTGCTAAAATGACCCACTCAGGCAACGAAAAGTAGGTGCTACGATTTCTGGTAAATTTATTCAGTATCTCTGTAGATTTGGCGGGAAGATTGGTAATTGAAAGATACGATAATAGAGTATCGTCACGCAGCAAAGTCGCAATTTCCTCGAGCTTGACATTAGTTTCGATAGTCTTTGCTTATCGCGTGGCGGCGTTTAAATTCCTGTTTATCGAGACACCGAGTAAATTGCCTTTGAAGGAGTGCTCTCTGTCGCCGGGAGATTTATCGTTGAACCAACTTCCGTGGACTTTTCCTCGCAGGAAGCGAGTCGATGCTCTCACGTCTCTCACGACGTGACGGCATAACTTTGCATAGACCGATATGAGTCAGCCACGTGTCATCCGTATGTACAAACCTTTCCAGCCGAATCTTATGATCGAGATAAGACGTTCGGCTACGAGCCACGGTTCGTTGGCATCTCTGCATCGCGTGATAAGCTGCGACGCGAATACGAAACAGTGTCTCCTCCTCTGCAAATTTATTGGGAATCATCTTCTTCCTATATCGTTTCGCTCGTGCAAACCGATCGCCTCGGTGCAACGATCGTACAGGAAATTGCAACTTTTCGTGAAATTTTTATCTGAGTTTTCCGACGATCTTTTGTTCTATTTGATGTTCGTGCGATTAAACGATGCAACAAAAGCGGTTTTATTAAAATTAGATATGGCTCTGTTTGTTTGAGTTAATAGATGAAAGGGTGAATTTTAAGTAGGAGAAGATTTTTGTAAAATATGCAAGGGTCTCTTTTGTTCTTTGGGTTACTTGGGTATTTACATGTACCATTGTGTTACTGGTATATTACTCATTGCACGTATTAATTTTAAATAATTAAAAATTTTTGAGAATTTCAAACTGATGAAAAATTTATACCAGAATTGACAACAAACAATTGATGAAAGTATATATTTGTTTTAAATTAATTAATACTATTTCCATTTTTGAACTCGTATCAACACAAGGTGACCAAGGTTAACCCAAGTTCAAGTTAAATCAGTTAATAGTGACCTTGATTTCGTTTGGAGTAAAGTGATGACTATTAATAATTGTCCCGAATAATTGTTAGATTTAACACGATTACCATAACATTCTACAATATATAAAATCCAAGATTTATCTTGTCCAATTCAAATTTCCAAGTTTCATCTAACAAACTACATGATCTAGTACCTAACCACCTGACGCCGATTTTAAACATTGTATTTTCTTGAAATTTCTCTCGTAAAAAATTCTCCCATCAAAAAGAACACGAAAGAAAATCTCTGACCACCATTTTAATGTTCGAATTTTTCGAACTACCCTACTGTATACATTAAAATGCTAACAATCTTCGACAACGTTCGCGTTTTGTTGGTTCCTCGTTTACTCGTCGAAACTTGCTGAATAATTTAATATCTGCGCACGTTGAGGAAAATGTATCTCGTTTGTTTTCTCTCGGCTAAAGTTTCGTATAAAATGGTTCATTATGTTAAACGTCTTGAAAAGGTTAACGAAAACATTTGTCAAAAAACAATCCATCGGTTTTGCACAACTTTTGAGATCGTAAATATGAGTTTGATTGCAAATGCTTTTGCTTGTTGCTTAAATTAAAACGACGCCCATCGA